TTGACTTCAAAACATACACGAACAGTATACAAGAATTCTTAAATAGAAAATGACTCAATTAGATAACGTTTTCTCCTATCCTACAGAGATAAGATATAATTATTTTAAAAATAAGAGTATTGTTAATAGTATGCAGTCTTGCGTCACCTTAATTATTCCTTTAGGTGTCATGTAATGCAGAAAGCCATGGAAATTGAGAGTTGTCGCTTAAAACCTATTCAAACGCGATTCTGATTGCCCAGGAACTAGGAATTTTTTTCTCTTATATTTTCATGTAGTTTTAATGGAAATATATTTAATTTTTAAGCGCTTTATTTGGAGCATTTGCTGTTAAATAGTAGAAATAGTAGTTCAAGCAGCTAAAAGCCATTGTCAAAAATCATGTATCTATTCACATGACAAATTTTAATCTCATTTTGATTTTAGCTCTATTTTTTTAAATGGAATTCCTGTTGTAAATAAAAATGCCAAAGCTTACAATTGAGAGTTAGACAGAGTTCTATTTGAATTTTACTTATATTTATAAATGCTTTTGAGAGGTTAATTTGAGACCATCTACATCTATTTCTTGATTTTATTTACTCAGTGCTATACTTTTTAATATTATTCTATTATACACTTAATGGAACTATCATTCCACATAGAGCATACTACTAAAGTTTGTGTAAATTATTTTTTCTTTGTGTTTTTCATAGCTGTTAAAGGTTTCTATAATGATGGTTCTTAAAGTATGTATTCACTATCATTTCACTTTCTAGACTTCAATTTTTGCTTTTTGTTTGGTCTTCCTTATAATTCAAACTTGAGCATCGAAATTAGATCCGCCGTAAGCACTATAACGTGAATATGAAGTGCCTCTGGTATTTATTAATTATTTAACTTATATATGCAACTTAATCAATTTGATCCATTTCCATGTAAAGAGTTTACTTATTAATATTTGCATTGTAATTGATATGAATTTTATTTACTACAGTGTGGCATTCATATGGAGTGTGACAATTACAATATGTGACTTAATAAGTTTAATAAATTATGTTGACAATTTTTTCTAAACAACAAAATTAAAATCTAGCCAGAATTATATATATTCCAGTTAATAGATGGAAAAATATTAACACATGCATGCAATGCTTTTATGTGTTGTAAATCCATAATATTGTTACTGTCATCTACATAAATTCTTTTGAAAGTAATTTTTTGTGAATTGGATTAAAAATCATAAAAAAAGTTATTTAAAAAATTTATATATATACTACTATATATTAAATGTTTTCTACCTCAACCAATTTGACATTGATTTTGTGGCATTTACATTTAAATCTATTTTCAATGTTAAAGTCTTAACATAATTTGAGTTTTTATTTAAATTTTAAACTAGTATAAAATTAATTTTATTATAAAAATATAAACAAAACTTAACTTAAAACATAAATTTTTACTGCTCTGTTTTAATGCAACATCAACAAAAAACAACTCAAAATTTGAATACCAGAGCAGTAAAATATTTAAACAATTTAAAAAAATCCAACAATGCGCACGAAATCAGCACGATTTTGATAAGCGTCTCACACAATTAATGTGAAAAAAAATAAAATAAACAAATAGTTAAATTTTTTTAAATGAAATGTTAACAATTTCTCATATTTTATTTCAGTTTTCTACAAGATTTCAGTGAGAGCTCTTCGTAGCGCTCGTCTGCTCGGTTCTCCAGAAAACATTTATTCTAAAAAGTTAGCAAAAAACAAAAAAAATTGAAGTAAGATAAAACTAATTATACAAGAAACACTCTTATCAGCGCAAAAAATAAAACAAATAAAAAAAAAGAAAAATTAATAAAAAATAAACAAAACAAAACAGTTTCACTTTTGTCAAGTGTTTTTAAATTAAAGTTAATTATATTTTTAAAATTGTTATAATAAAGCACAAAATTGATATTTGATGCTTACTAAGAATTCTTATTAAGTAAATTAGATCGAATAAAAATAAAACAATTGTAAATAGGTAAAAAATGAGTTTGATTAAATAACTATTCAACTGAATCTAATCGGTTTTATTATATATATTATATTTTAAAATGAATAGAATTAAAAAATTATAATGTGAATATTATTTAGCTATTGTTCTATAAAAGAGAACTATGTTATCCATTTAATAATAAGTGCTTCAATCAAAGTATGAAAAAAAAACTGTAATGAAATCAAAAATAAATTGTTGGAAGCACCGTTTATTGAAATTATCTCACTCTAATTCAACAATAAAAAAAGTATAACAAGTATACATTAATTTCATTTTAATAAATTAAAATATTAAACAAAAATAAAATTTATATAATATATAAAAAAGCAATTATTTGTTGAACACAATAAAACGAAGTTAACGTAAAAAAATTAATATTTGTTGACAAGGCTTATCATATAGCAATATAAAAAAAGTGAATTCATTATAACCACAAAAAAAAAAAATAATAGTTTTATAGCTTATAATTATAATGTTGTAAATCAATGAACTATGGTGCAAAAAAAATCGTGATTTAAAAACGTTTTACATTAGACAAATAGAGATAAAAAATGTACTGCTTGTAATATTTTGTCTCTACGATGACGCATTCATATTTGGGATTTTCCTTACCCAGTAATGTTAATAAGTAATCATAGACTGCAGTGCTTTTTGTAAATATTGAGCCTATATACCGGTTTAGGTAATATTATATGTAAAATACTCGAAATAGATTTCTTCTTATATGAAATAAAAATTTTATCGGTCTAAAATTATAAAAAAAAGTAAACAGGAATCGGTCCAATTCAAGAAGAACTAACAATTTTACGGGATTTTAGTTACAGAAATGTCATTGTGCTTATTTCCAGTCCATTTGACAACAAATTTAGTAAAGACAGTTATTTTGAACAACTTTTTTCACTAAGCCATAAACAGCTTAGGCTTGAAGACATTTTACAACTTTAAAGTTAGAAATACAATCCATTTCAGAGTCTATGCACTATGAAACCTTGGTCTTCTTAGACAGCTTAATATACTCTTGACATAATAAAAGCTCTTCCTAACTAAGAATTAAATATAAATTGATGATTTTTTCGATATTTATCGTTCCGATAGAATAAAAATATTTAACATTATTAAACATTTATAGTATTTGTTTTAAATAAACCAGAATTAGATTTTTTTAAAATAAGGACCTTATGAAGAGTAGGTAAACATCAAACAATTTTGGAAAAGCATACTCTGCACTTTCTTAGCTTGATATTACAATAATAAAGCTAAATCAACATATAGTTGAAGAGGTTACTCAGAAAAGAGGAATAAAGCCTGCCACCGAATTGGGAATTCTAAAAAACTGTTATACCATGCCAAACTTAGATGAGAAAAATAACTTTTAGTTCAAAACCAATTACCAAAACTTGTATTCTTATATGAAAGTAAACACAACTAAAATTCGATTTTCATTGAATGTAAGATTTATTTAATACCTTTTCTTAAATATAACGCTGAAATAATGTTTTATGGACAAGATTTTGTTACAAAATTAACATAACGTTTTCATTTTCAACGTGATATTTGTTTAAAATACCACACTAGAGTAAAATTGCAGATTAGAATCAGTTTTTATAACAGTTTTCGCACAGTTTACTGCATTTAGTTCAAAAGGTGATGAAGCAACAATTTCACATTTGACATGACCATGACGTCTATATAACATGGCTCTAACTGTATGTATAACATCTTTCTAAGTGGCATATTATGCAGAAAGTCATGGGCTCGTCTAAATGAAAATTTGTTGGTGCTTTCAATGCGAAATAAAGTGAGCTGTCAGTGCCAAATTTACAGTTTGCAATAAAAGCAATAAAAATTGAAAGCAATAAGAATTGTCGTGACGTGACTTTAATCATAACATAACCCTAAGTGCCAGGTTATGAGAATTGTCTCGGACACGGCATAACTAAAATTGTTGTTGTTTTCAATGCAAATTATAAAATTGAGATTGAGAGAAAAACAACATGTCGGTCACGGTTGCCACTTATGGTACTTTATTGTGGATATTGTATTGTTTTATACTTTTTGTACATTTTATATAAATTGTATTTTCTTATAAAAAGACAATAGAAAATTTTGGACCTTTTTTTACAGAAATGGTACCTTTTTAAACCAATTTTGGTACAGAAAAAAATTTTCAAGTGGCAACCGTGATGTCGGTTCAAATTTCGGCATAAGAACCGGAGTATTTGTGCCTCGGCACTATGGCAAAGCAGTGTTCAGAATTTAGGCATTTTATGAGCAAATAACTACAATTTTAATACGTTTTGGAGAAAAAAAGGCAGCAAGCAACACAGCCTATTTCTTAAACCGCTAATAATTTAACAATTATTATAAAAAAATATAATATTGAATTAACATTATTACACCCTCTATAAGTTTTTCCTTGCTGGCTATTTTTGGTGACAAATTGAAAGTGAGCATATCTACATTTCCTTTTAAATTTAGGCACAACCAAAAAGTACCAAATGGTAGTAAAAGAACGATTGGCAATACTGATGTGACACTCTTCATAACACGCATTTTCGGTATAGACTGAAAGAGCCAATTTTGCTGTGCCCGAGGCACTCTACATAGCATGGCCCTAACAGTGCCGTTATATTTGTACAAAACAATGTTCATTTTTATTACTGTCTGAAGTACTGATAATAATAACAAACTTTAAGTCTTGCAGTTATTATTTTTGCTCTTGTATATATAATAAAATTAAATTTCTAAAATACATTGCAAATATATTATATATATATAATTAAATATATTAATATATTATTTAAAAAATTTAAATATTAATTCATTATTATTTAATTTTAAAAACTAAACTGATATTACCGTAATTTCTCTACTAAAGCCGTTTCTGTTTAAAGTGCTGTTAAAAACTCTGCTTACATTTTTTTACTGTTTAATAATGTTTGCATTTACACTTGAACTCAAATATTTGAACTTAAGTTTAAATTTTTGTATTAATTAATTTATTAATTCTTCAGCAGAAATATAAATTCCAACATTTTTCGATAAATCAAAAAATGGCAGCCATGTTGTTCACAACTGCACGATATACGCGGCTTGCAATCATTTTTTATGCATAACAGAAATTAAATTATATTAACAATAAGACATTCTGCAATTACAATATCAATTTAACGTTCAATTAAATTTTGCAATTCTGTTTTGTAAAGTTCAACTTTTACACACATTTAAATTTTTACTTTTTATTTGCATTTCAATTTTAAATATCAGCTGATGTCGCAGTTATTTCTGGCGCAATGCCGCTCTCTTCTTCTCGACCAACTGTCACTTTTCTGCTCACGCTTTCTACTGCTTTGCAATGTTTTTCCCACATTGTTGTTGTTATTGCAATTCCGTGTAAATTCGCCAATGCGAAATTGGTTTAGAACGCGTCGGTGTCGGAAGGTGGTTCCACTTAGAAATTCTTGTGCCAAAGTTATTAAAAATAATTAATTATATTAAAAATTAATAAAACTACAATAAATTAAAATAACTTATGTGTAATTAAAGTGTGATAGATCCAAAATATGCTGCAAGCTTCGACAGCTGCAAAAAGCCGGTTTCATTTGTGCGTTTTATATAAATTTATTGCTGATAAATAAACTTTTATTTTTTTATAATGTTTCTTGTATAATTTGTTACGCATAGTTCTTGCTTTTTTTTTTTGCATTGATATTGTTTTTATAATACTATTAAAGTTTGTTTACAAATCAATAGAAAGCATATTCAACGAAAGTGCAAAACGTAAAACAAAACAAAATGTCAAAATCTGTTCAAAGCGACCCCTATGTGTCAATAAATGTATTTGATGAAAAACATGAGTTGTTCAACAGACTGCAGACAATACAAGAATTTTATTGCAGTGAATTTGGTTCGAAACCCAACTTTTTTGTTCGTGTGCCGGGACGGTAAGTGAAAAATGAGTAATTTTATGAAGATAAATAAATAAGATCTACAAAAATACTTTAAAAATAATGGGTGATAAAAAATATTGTCCAGGTTTTTTGTTGCATTTTTAAACAAAAATTTCTTTATTAAAAATCAAATATTAAGCAAATATTGGTCATTATTGTATATGAGACAGGGTTTGAATTGCTTGCTGAAAATTAGGAAAAGCAACCATATTCTGACTAATGCATAAATATTGACCAGTCAATTTTTGTCAAACGACTAATTGCTAATGCATAGCATATGAAAATGAGATCTTCCCATTTTTCTAGTAGTTTCATAATTCCATTAGTTTAGAACAAAAAGAGGTTTTCGAACAGAAGTGAAACAACAACAAAAATTTATTTTTTAAATTATTTTAATTAATTGAATTTTTGGGTGACCATTCAGCTGTTTCGCGTATTGTCAAATACTCACCATCAGTGGTCTTGCAAATAATTCTCGTATTTAATTATTCGTAAATAATTATTTTTGAGACTGCAAGTACCAGGAATCGAACTCGGGTCCTGCCAAATGTGAAACTCAGAATCAGCGCATCTTAACCAACTGATCCAAAGCAGTACTTGACTTTTTTCTTCGCATATTTTTCTGGAGTTTTGCTACTATTACTATGAAAATTCTTATTAACAATTTTACTTGCTGTGTTTATATTAGAACGAAATCATAAACCAGCTGTAGAATAATTAAATTAATTAATTAAATATATTTTTTTTTATATTTTTAATTGTTAAATTTCAATACTATTCTTTTTGTAGAGGCATTATTTGTTGCATGATTCGTTCTTTCTTAGGTATAGAACCTAATCTAGGAACGTAATGCTGAGAAAGTCATGCTAATGTTACTCCAGTAGTCGCACGGGCGAGACCAATATTTTGTGAATATAAGTTGTAATTTAACGTCAAATTTTCCAGACGAAAGTGACTATTATATTTTAATAGAAACTTATTATATTTCATAAAGAGGTTTTTCGAACAGTAGTGGAATACAACAACAAAAATTTTATTTTTTATATTATTTTAATTAATTGAATTTATGGCTCACCATACAGCTGTTTCGAGTATTGCCAAATACCCATCTTCATTGGTCTTGGAAAGAATTCTATTTACTTATTCGTAAATAATTATTTTTGAAACTGCAAGTACCAGGAATCGAACTCGGTCCTGCCAAATGTGAAGCTCAGAATCAGCGCACCTTAACCAACTGATCCAAAGCCGTACTTGACTTTTTTGTTCGCATATTTTTGCTGAAGTTTTGTTATTAACAATTTTACTTGCTGTATTTATATATTAGAACGAAATCATAAACCAGCTGTAGAATAATTGAATTAATTAATTAATTATATTTTTAGAACTTCTGAAATTTATCGGACTAATGCTGTTACGTTGTTATGATTCTAATTAATTAAAATATATTTTAAAGAGGTTTTTACGAACAGTAGTAAACTACAACAACAAAATTTTTATTTTTTATATTATTTTAATTAATTGAATTTTAGGCTGACCATACAGCTGTTTCAAGTATTGCCAAATACCCATCATCACTGGTCTTGGAAATAATTCTGGTATTTAATTATTCGTAAATAATTATTTTTGAGACTGCAAGTACCAGGATTCGAACTCCGGTCCTGCCACATGTGAAGCTCAGAATCAGCGCACCTTTACCAACTGATCCAAAGCCGTACTTGACCTTTTATGTTCTTATAAAAAGTGTTTATATGTTTTTATATATTTTAAAAAAAATTTTAAATTAAATTCTCTAATGTTAAATGATGACTTGCATTTGTCCTTTTAAGTTTGTACACCTATAAGTTCACAAGTTCAAAAAATTCTTGTAAATATTATTACTATATTATATTATAAAGAGATTTCGAAAAGTAGTGAACTACAACAACAAAAATTCTTTTTATATATTTTAATTAATTGAATTTTTGAATTGATTGAATTTGAAATATTGCTAAATACCCATCATCAGTGGTCTTGGAAGTAATTCTTATATTTAATTATTCGTAAATAATTTTTTGAGACTGCAAGTACAAGAGATTTAATTCATGCCCTGCCAAATTTGAAGCTTAGAGTCAACGTTCATTTGCCAAATGACCCAAAGCCGTACTTCACTTGTATGTTCGCACATTTTTCTGTAGATTTGGTACTTTGCTGTGAAAGCTTTATTAACAAATTCGCTTGCTGTGTTTATATTAGAACGAAACTATAAACCAGTTGTAAAATAAATTGAATTATATATTTTTTAATTATTAAATTTCAATACTAATCCGTTTGTAGAATATTATATTATCCAATCATATATCGAAGTGGCTTTTTCATATATTTTTTACCACTGCACTTGTTGTACATTATATAAAGTCAAATAAAACCCTACAAACAAAGTCATTATACATAAGTATATATTACAGTATACCTATTGTTATTATATTATCCATCATATTTTTTAGCTCATGCTTCTAAATAAACATATATACATATATTAAACATATATTACTTTTTCTTTCAAATACAGTTATACTCGTTCACAATATCTATACTGCACATCCCAGATTTTCCCATTCGACTTATTAAAATCTTATATAATATTTACTTCGTTTTCGTGAAGCTCTGAATTTACTTTAACTTTTTTTTAGGCGATTTAAAAGCACCTACCAGAAATGTTTGCTGGAAGTTAAATAAAAAAACTTCCCAAGTTAAGCAACGCACAGCAGATATAAGAAAAAACGAAAACCTAATATAGTCTTAAAAAAAATAGACTGACAATTTCATATTGGTAAGACAAAGCCAATATATGGTGCTACGTTCTTATTGAGGAAAATATTTAAAAATATTTTGCCTAATCTATTTGTAAACCTCAGATTTCGAAGCTAAAATCCACTATCCACTACAACAGTTAATTTAATTTCACAATAATTCACATCTATGTTTTTAGACACGCAAATATAATTTTAATGGATTCAAATAAAAACAAATAAAAACTGATGCAAATTTTGAATGTACAGAATTTATGTAATGAAACCCTGGCAAACGAAACCGATTCTATATTACACAAAACAGAGATGGACAATAAAGAAATGGACGTCTTTTATTCTAAGTGAAATGACGACCAAATACTTTACGTCATAACACTTCGACTACATAAGTCCACTACAATATTCGGTGATTTTTTTTTTGAAAACAATCTTACTAAATATGTGCTTTGTTTGTAATTACTTTATGTTAAATCCGAACATTTTTACCTTATTTTTAAGTTTTAATATAAAAATAGTTGGTCTCCCTTATATCTTCCAACGTCAGATCATTTGCTATACCTAAACTGTATATCTATATAGATATTATTAATATTATTGATATGTGCCGTATCAAATTAATAATTGGCGTTGACTAATAACATATGTTCGCAACTTAAAACTATTTTAAAATAAATGCCAATAAATCTTTCCAATCTTTGCTATGAAAAAGTATTTGATTTTTTGCAAAATTTTTTAGATAATCTCTAATACTTGACATCCGAAAAAACAAACTGTATCGAGCGTTCAACAACGCAGACTATAACATTTGTAATTTAACGCTACTTTAAAATGAAATTCCAACATATTAATAATATTTTGATGCACAACCAATTCTATTCTCAACTTCTTAAAAGATATTATTTACAAAATACATTATATATAATAATTACTCTAAGGACAGGGCTTATCAAAATCAAATTTGTATTCAAAATGTATTAATTTTTAATTTTTGAAATTTCTTTATTGAAATTATACTACTTACCATTCCATTTTTCTATATGTCTACTTTATAATACTAGATAAAGTACTACGAATAGCACTTTTCTGCCACTTTCATATTTTTATCACAAACTTATTAATGCGATTCAAGATCGACAGTCGATAGGTCCTTCAAATAAGTTTCAAGTCATTTAAACCTAAAAAGAAAAGATAAGTCGCTATAGTATTTATAAAATTGACTTTATAAATTAAACAAATTGAATTATCATGTTATATTAGTTTTAATAATAATAATTGAGTTAAATTTAAGACCATAAAAAGATAGGCAATATTACATTGATTCCGATAACTTTACACACGACAAATCAGTTTTTATTATTTGTTCACCAATAAGGAATTAATCTTATATCTCCCACATATATTTGCCTGATACAGCTACTTCGACATTAATTGAGCACAAAACCACCGAAGTATTTTTGCCCAACTCCACTCCACACTTATTAATTCCGAGTCTATTATCTCACTATTCATGTACACATTTTTAAAAATACTTTTTTCCTGTATTTTCAGTGTTAATATCATAGGCGAGCATGTGGACTATTGTGGCTATCCAGTACTACCAATGGCTATAGATCAGTGCATTTTATTGGCTGTTGGATATACAGAGGAAAATAGTTTTTTACAGTTGAGAAATTTACAAAGTTCCAAATTTCCAAACTACAAATGTGATTTGCAATCCATTAAGTAAATTTATTTTTAATTGATTTTTAAAAATATTTAAATAAATTTTCTATATAATAGAATCGAACTACCTGAAGCGGGTGGTCCAGAATGGTTTAAATATTATTTGTGTGGCATCAAAGGCATATATGAAAATAACAACGAAACACTTAAACCCATTGGTATGAAAATTGCTTTAAGTGGTAATATACCACCAGCTTCGGGCTTATCAAGTTCAAGTGCTCTAGTCAGTGCAGCAGCCTTGGCTACCGCTCATGTGCATCGTTTACCATTAGAACGGAAAATACTAGCTTCCATATCAGCCCAATGTGAACGTTATATAGGTACACAAGGTGGTGGTATGGATCAAGCAATTGCTTATTTAGCTCAAGCAGGTTGTGCACAATTTATCGAATTTCATCCCGAACTAAATGCAACACCTATTTGCCTACCAGAGGGTGCATGTTTTGTGGTGGCGAATAGTTTGGCAGAAATCAATAAAGCTGCTTCATCCGATTTCAATGAGCGAGTTGTGGAGTGCCGACTTAGTACGCGTCTAATTGCCAAGAATATGAACTTCAGTAATTGGAGCGACTTAATACGATTCGCACAGTTGCAAGAAATGTTAAGTTGTACACTCACTGAATTGGAAGCAATTGCTAACAAGTATTTACCAAAAAATATTTATACACGTGAAGAAATTTGTGAGGCATTAGATATCTCTATTGATGAATTTGTAAACAAGTTCCTAACGCCCAATACGCGGCATATGCTGAAGTTTAAATTGAGACAACGTGCACTACATGTAATACAAGGTAAGTATTGAACCTCATTTAACAGTTTTAGTAACGTATATTATTTATTTATATATTTTAATGCAGAATCACTGCGAGTTGCCAGGTTCCGCGCTATTTGCGAGCAGACAAATGAGGCTAATGGTACAGAGCATCTTAACAATGGCAACTTGACTAACGTTTGTGTCACAAATGATGGTGCGTGCATGCAGCACCTAAAGAAACTAGCAATCTTATCAGAATTGATGCGTAAGTCGCATCATAGTTTACAAGACTTGTATGAATGCTCACATCCCGATTTAGATCAATTGGTGGCCATATCCGATGCAGCGAATGTTGGTGCACGACTTACTGGCGCAGGGTAAGCATTTTCAACTTTTCAACTATGCAATTTACTTCAGCAATTTGCTTTATGTGGCTTTTTCACAGTTGGGGTGGTTGTATTGTTGCGTTATGTGATTCTGTGGAGGCATGCGAGAAATATATGCGTGAATTAAAGAACAAATACTATCTGCAGTTGCCATCCCACATTTTAGAGATGCATCAGCACAATGATTTTAATGATGTCGTCTTCGCCACGTTTCCGCGTAGTGGTGCTGAAATACTGCATATTTCGGATGAAATAAATAAATAGTATTATGAATCGATTTCTATAAGCAGACAGGTGCAGTATTTTAATAGCAAATTCCTTTTATCCCTAGTTAATGTGTAATAATGTACAATAAATTTAATGTTTAAGAAATTTTAAGTAACTGAAATACAAATTTACAAAATCGAGTTTTTAATTCAATTGTTAGTATCAAAAAATTTTTTCTAGTTAAATGTAAAGTAATGGTGTTTTGTTTGTGCCTCAAAGTGTTCGAGCATTACGTTACACAAATAAATTTTTTATACACTAATTCAAACATTTAGATCCAATATTTTAAATATTTTTAAATACTCTAGCTACCTGAACATATTCGAATTATTTGGACAGATCATTTGTTCCATGCGTCACTATATTTTTGTTTTATTATTTATTTATTTGTGAGTTAACATTAAAATTAATTTTAAAGTTAACTAAGAATAAGCTACTGGACTGCTAGGTTCTTCGACCTGGTTAACACCTGCAGCCTCTCGATACCAACCCATGCGCTTGGTTTAATTAATACATATATATGTAATATATACATATGTTACTAATTCTACATTCCGGTGACAAACAAAAATTTAAAGTTAAAAAATTTTAATAATCTAATATTTATTAACAGTACCTTATTAACGCAAATATAAAAGTTGTAAATCACGTTAATCTGTAATCTGTCAATTAAATGTTGTAAATACGTTATAAGCCACAGTATGATTCTATATTACTATTACTTGACGAGTAACATCTTTCAAGTATTTACAGTTTAATATTTTAGTTCTATTTTTTCAACCAATTAAAGCTATTATTGTATTTATCATAATGGAAATAAAACTATCTGAAAAAATTTGAAACTAATTTGGGTAGTGTTGTACTTTTTTATGAAGCATTGTTCTAGATTTAATTTCGTCCGCAGAGAATTCTTGTCATTAGTCATTCTTCGTAAACAGAAGAAGGTTTTATAGGATTACATTCTTATAATATACGAATTGTTCAATGAATTCAAAAAATATAACTTGTTTTAAATTTTTCTTTTGGTTGAATAAAATTTGACGCCAAACACAAAAAAAAAAGAAACCTGATGAAACGAATGAGCGTATGTGACTGTGTACGATTTACGTCTGTAAAGTCGATTGAAATTACACATTATCTTTTATTGTAGACCCTGAATTGACACTACTGTACCACAATACGAGGGTTACTATTTATATTTTGAGCCTAAAAATGAAAAATTACTAACTTGTTCAAAATTGCTTTATTGTTTCTCGAAGTATTCTTCTTTATGATTAATAATTTGTCAAAGCATTTTTTCGAATCTTGTTTGGAGACCTCTAAAACATGGTTTTTAGATGCAACAACGGCTATATCCGCCAAAAAAATCGTGAGCGTTGTCTACACAATTTATTCTTGACGTTCGGGAACAAGATGTCATTGGGTGCCAAATAAACACTGCAACTACGATGGATAACCCATCAATTCGATTGTTTAAATAGTCGGTTGTTAGATAAGATGTGAGCACTGGCATTGTCTTGTTGAAGATGGAAAATGATCTAACGACGCTTTTTTGTTTTCCGTATTTCACTGAAGACTGCCGATAAACAAATAGCTGAATTCCGTTCGGAATTGACTGTTTTACGTTCCTGTAATGGTTTACTGGTAGTAGTTGCCATATAACAAGTTTTTTCGAAAAAATAAGCGACCATTTGTTTCGAAGTCGCCGGGAGTCGTAATAAATCATCGTAACTAAATTTTCTAAGGTAGGTTATGTTGAATATGGAAACGACAGATAACACCTGACAACAAACAGCGTTACCAAGGCTCAAAATATAAATGGTGACCCTCGTATTGCTTCAACGGAAGACGAATGAAAATTAACAAGCTTCTTCAGACAATAGGTATATCGCGTTTCAACAAAATTATCATTTTAACTGTACAATGTAAATGCGATTATAAAAATGGTTTTTGGATAGGATGGAGCACACATGTGTAAACGCCAAAGCGAAATTACAAAACTTTCCCCATTCTCTATTTTGAAAGTTAAAAAGTTTTTAGGAAAAAAGGAGACTTACTACCAAAGCGCAAATAATCAACAAAATAGATGATTTGTATTATTGAATTGTATTATTCGAACGGATTGGAGAAGTTGAAAAGTCGTTAGATCAAATGTGTGAAACAGAAAAGGCCAGACAAATCATATTTGAATATTTTAAGGAATTAAGGAGTCATTAAATCAAATCTATAGCGCTTATAGAAGATCTATGATAAGTAAATAAAAATTAATTATTCAAGAAATTGTGTTGTAATAATGAAAATGAAACAAATGGTTTTCATGTCTTCTAATCTCGAAAATATATTAAAACTATAAGTATGTGTTTTTAATTTTCTTTTATTTATATTTCCAACATTCCTTTTTAAAATTTTTTTAATGTGTTTTTTTTTGCGTTTAAATCTTAAAAATATATATACTTATTCTTTATATATCGCATATATAAATATATTTGATCCTCTTATTTTCAAATCATTAAAACGTGTTAAATACGAGGCTTTTGTAGAGGGAATGACTATCGAAATATATCACATAAATTGTATTATTGAAAGAAATCGTTTCCATCAATCAGCCTGTAAAATATTGATTTTGTAAACGTCAGGAAAATCCACGAAAAATTTAATTTTCATATTTTGAATTTTTTACTGGAATTTTGAAAATTTTTTTAAATATTTTTTTAAAATGATGCTCTTGAATATTTCTTTAAGTGCGAGGTGTACGACCTGCAGTTACCAAAATACGTTGACGACGTTCCTCCATTAAATTACTACGATCCTTATGAATATAATCCAATTTATTTGGCAACCCGTCTATTGTATTTGCCGATAATGCAGAACGAATAATATTCATGAAGGTTGTCTCCATCCTACTCAAAATAAAATTTATAAAACAAATTTAAATAATTAATTATTGTTTTTAACTAACCATTCATCATTTTCTGGGCAATAACATTCTGTACTAGATATAGTAGACACACCATTAAAACCTCCAATAGCAAAAATCATTTCGTCCAGTACTTCAAGTGCGAAATTACTACGCGAATGTGTCATTTCCTTAATAAAAGTCCACTGATTAGATTTGGGATCATAACGCTCACCGGTGGAGAGGCGTGCTGTGCCGTTGAAACCACCAACGGCATAAATATAACCATTATATGCAACGCATGCCACACCAGAACGTCGATGATTCATACGAGCAACCTCTGTCCAAACGTTCAATGCCGGATCATAGCACTCACAAGAGTCTAAACACTCAGTGCCATTAAAACCACCTACAATTTAATAAATTATAAGAAATATTTAATATATTTTTAAAGTATGTAATAAATGTTTATATTTTATACATAATGTGAAAATCAAAATTTTTTACTTAACTTACCGAGTACGTAAACTTTGTTATCAAGAGTACAGGCACTTCCATCAGAACGTTGTATATTAACTGATCTTATCCAAGTCCATTGATTGGTACGTGGGTTATACCGTTCTACGCAGTTCAAACGAATACTGCCGTCGAAACCACCAACGGCGTATATATAATTGTTCAAAAGAGATACAGATGCATAACAGCGTCGAGTATGCATAGGTGCAATCTATTATATTAAACAATGTGATATAAATAAAAGATATCATTAAATTTGTTTCCACCTACCTCTCGCCATGACTTTTTGACTGCATCGAAAACACGACATGTATTAAAATATTCGTTACCATCGTAGCCACCTATACAGTAAATTCTAAAACCAATTACAGCAGTACCATGATAACCTCTAGGACCAGCAGGATCATCAACATTAACTTTTACCCAGCGATCTGCTCTAGTATCATAAGTTTCCACAACACTTTTTGAAGTACCACCGCTCCAACCACCGATGGCAAACATGATTTCGTGTGGTAAACGTGGTAAAGCAAAGTGTGGTGTTTTGGCTCTCTTGTTAACTGGCAAACGGTAAGGAATATGCAAATTTGAGCTTAAAATGCAAAAAATTTTTAATCATATTTTATTTTAGATATGCATTATATATTACATAAACTTGCAAGTTTCTAATAAAATCGGCTTGGCCTCTTCGTTATCTACTGTATATGGATGATCCTTTATGTTATCCATAAAGTACTTTTAAAATAATATAAATTATTTAAATAGTAAAAAAACAATGAAAATTGTAAAAAACGTACCTTTGAACTTACTAACCCTAGGCGAATACCATGCAATAACCTACCCACAAATCTTTTACGATCAGTCACATTAAAATTAATCCAATTAAGGCAAGCTTTCCACACAGAGTCTTCCTCACGCGCATTAAGGTTGTCGTCATATATTAAACTGCAGAACTCATCGACGTTTAGACGCATAATATCCAAGTTCACTTCAGCAATTTTTATAAAATTTCGTAGAACATAATCTCGTCCCTTGGCTCGTACGTCAAGCATTAAACGTTGCCTTAAATTATTGAACTACTTTAAGTATCTAAATTGCAAGTTAAAAAAATCTCAACTTACTCTCCGAAGCGCATAACAGAAACACAATTGGACATAGACATTATTGAATATAAAAACTGCTTGCACATTGTTATCATGCCTGGCATTCCTACATAATCGGCAGCAATTAAGAGATCATATATATTTTGCAAGTTGATATTACATTTCCGCAAATATGAGAATCGAATCACCTCTTCAAGAACAGGAGCTTTCATACCTCGAATATGCACATAGCGATTACGTTCAGAACGAGAAAGTTTTGCATTCAAACCACAAAATTGTGCACTAAAAAATCCCTAATTAGGCTTGGGATTGATATAAATATAAACTTATTGGATATTACCGAAAATAATCACTATTAGCACTTAGAACTGCTCTGTGAACGTGATATACATCATTATCACACAAAATTAACCCATCGGTTAATAGATTATCATTCCGAAGTTCGTACATTTGTTTTTCATTTTCGTTATTAGCAGATCGATTTCTCTTCCGAGGAACTACTTCTTCAATTTCGGACTCCTCACTTACATCGAAACGGATTTCATCAGCAGTTATCGGTAGTAACTCTTGCGACATTTTTTCTAAAATTTCTACAACACCAAGCAAAAGCACCAAATATAAAAAATTGTATTCAATAGTATTTCAGTTATCATATTGAAAAATGTATAACAATAATATATTTCAGATAAATACATAAATACTAGTATGTGTGGCAATCCTATCGAAGAAACATAAAATCTCGCAAACTTGTTTATTATTCTCTATATTCTTATAATCAGAAACCTAAACTAGAGTTAATAATTCGTCTACATTCTCGAATAACTGTGGACTATGAACGATAAAATATTTTCTATAACAGTACGATAAGAATACAGACGAGGGCTTCAGAAAGAAATCTTCGCGACGAGTGAAAGACTTTTATGACGATAAATACTTCTGCTTACGATGCTGTAATGTACTTATCCGTAGGTACATGGAATACGCACAGACTACTGAGTCGCTGTTTTTAATATTTACATTGTAACCAACTCTGCTTCCCAGTCGTCTCTTGTGGTACCGTTATGGAAATTTATTAAAATCATTCGCATAAAGTTCAAATTTTGAGATACTAGCTTTTTAATTGTTTTCGAAAGCGGTCATAAAATATGTCTTAGATAAATACCTTTTGCGGATATTCTGCAGAATCATAAAACTTTTGTTGAAGCTACACGATTTGTAGTCCTGGCGGTTTTGGTGACTTTGATTTGAAATATATTTTTTAAGATTAACACGTAAAAAAATTTTAGAATGATTTGAAAATATATAAACTATATTTAAAAATATCAAAATGTATTTTTGAAGGTATGTTATAATTTGAAATTAACCGATTGACTATAAAAAAATTATAAAAATTTACTTGTTATTCACTTCAAGTTCAAATATTTCATTGAAACATTGTTACTATGATTGAAATATATACATATATACCTTGCTTGTGTTTTAAAAATATTTTATTAAAGTAATTTAAACGGTCTAGAAATGTTCGTTTAAAGAATAACTTTCAGTTCAACTTCAGTTTTTATCGAATTGTTTTCTGCACTTCAATTATAAGTAATTATCGAACAAAGGTTTTATATTGTATATACATAGTAAATTGCGATAATTGACAGAATATAATACTTCTATTAGTGATTGAGAAATTGAAAGAATCGATGTGAAGAAAAGTCGTTAAAATAGGACGCACATAACACAGCTTATTTTAGCTTATTTTTTTTTTATGAATGAACTGACCATCAAGATCATGGGATTTGTCACTACTGTATTTTTATCTGTGGGGTAACACAAAAAATGATGTTTATGTTTATAACTCTCTAACTCGTAACAATCTGATTACAAACAATTCGTTAAGTTGTGATCAAGTTATTGCCAGATATTTGCCAAAAAGTCATCAAAAATTACCTCAACGGTATACAGTATTGTAAGAGGAGAAGGATATCTTGTGAAGGATATTTTATTAAGGTATATATGGCATACTGTAAGAGGAGGAGGATATCCTGTGGAGGATATTTGAATACATGGCATATTACATGTGAAATGAAATCGAAATTACAATCACAGATCTGTTTTATTTTATTATATATGTTTATGTCCTTTTCTATTTCCTTTTTCTTTTGAAACCACAGAAGAATAATTATTTTGTTATTCTTTCCTTAAAAAATGTAATTAGAAATAAAAATCTTTTTAGTAATTATTTTCCTAAATGTTCTCTCCTTAATACTGAATTAATTAAATTAATATTAAAGCATTGCTCTGAAAACCAATTTAAAATTTTTTTCTTCTATCCTGTCACAGAGCCATTTTTCATATATTGATTTGTTATATTATGTAAAAAGAAAGTTAATTTCTTATATTAAGCACAGGATACACATGTTGTCCTTTCACTAAGCTCTTATATTGATTTTGGGCAATTCACGGATAATTTACTTTGATTTGGGTTGGTTTACTCACTCAACTTAAGCATTAATAAAAGGAAAGAAAGTAGAGTCATTGCGAATTTATTATATAAGCCACTAAATCAAAGCCATGTTCCGAAGCAGCATAAAACAGTGGAATTTTGGTTTATTGATAGCAATAAATAAATACGACAAATTCTATTAAGAGTACATATAAATAAGTAAAATAGTAAATTAAATCAAAATATGTTATTGTTGATTAAATTTGATGGCAAGATTCTCTCGTGATAGTTTAATCAAATGAAAATTAATATAATAAAATCTGCAGAAAAAACATATACTTTTATGAAATCAAAATTACAATTATATCGTTTTCGATTGGTAAATATGGATTCAATCTAGATTTACTCTCAATCTATCAAATTTTATTGCACAAACGAACATTTTTAGAGTAATTTAAAAAATAAAATAATAATTTTTAGAGTAGTAGAATTATTATTTTGTAGCATATATTAGATATATATTATATTACATCGAATCAAATCACATTTTATTTGTCAAGTCATACAAAACAGCTGTTAATTTCAATCTAAATTAATTAATTAATTAATCTTGTTACTCTGGCAAAATATATAAAATGCTATAAATTAATCCCAAATGATATACATTTTACACAAATTTACCAATAAAAACGGCATTAGTTTTATGAAGTCTTTTCAATTATAGATAAATAGCTTTCAATAGGTCTAACACAGTTGCGACCCTCTTGTCAACCGTCTGATATTATGAAGATTACAGCTAATATAGTATTAAGGCGGCTATTCTTCCTTTTCCTAATAATTTTGTTTTTTCCCCTTTTTGAAGAGATATGCTAAGTGTTGACATGCTAAGTGTTAATGAAGAAATTGGTTAATGCCATTGGAGCTTTATTAAGATGAGAGGTTTTAGATATTTTATATTTTAGAAGTGCATATTCATACCCCTTTCAACGTCACAGTGTACATCATAAATTTATCCTCGAAACTCGAATTTCGTTTTTATAGCGTACTCTAACTAACCTTTATCTAATTTTTCCATGTATGTCTAAATGTTTCTATAGATAATATAGATGTTCAATTGTGCCATTGAATTGTTATTATGTTGAGGCTAGTTGAGTCAGTGCACTTGAGCACTTTTACTCTCTATTAACTGCGGATAATTTGTGGATGTTTTTTCTTCCAATTGAAAACGTAACGTGCTCAGATATTTTTACTATTATACATCGATTAAGCTTAAAATGAAAATTTTAGATATTTTCGTCTTAGTACATTTCTGGCCTTTCTTTAAACGTCTAAACAGATAATAACTGAACAAGACTAGAAAATAAAATAAATTTGATATATAACAATCTAACACTGACCTATGCTTTATAGGTATGAATGCGACTATACTAGATGCCTTCAGTAGAGACTTCTGTAATAGCTGTGAATAAGAGGATATGGAAGAAACTATTAAGCACAATTACGTCTGGGTCAGGCTATATCCAAAAATTTAATTGCTTTGGAGAAATTTAAACGTTTGTCGTAGAAAACATTTAGTTAATTGGAAGTGATTGTTAAATGTGATTTTATCATCATAGGTATACTATGTGAATATGGGTACTTTTGTAGTCACGACTGCCATTGTAGTAAGACAGATTTTTATAAATATCATACTTCTGAAAAATATTTAGTAATAATTTTTTTAAATCAACATAATGACGTATAATCAGCTTTTAGCCAACAGAACTTCTTTAAAGTTCAACGTTTTGAAAATTAAAACTATTGAGACAGAAATTTTGTGATAAAAACTAACATAACATTGACTTACATTGTGAGATTTTGAGGTTCGAGATTTAATTGTGCATAAGTACTTGATCAAATTTTGTAGTACCTTTAAGTACATGTCTGAATTAAAGTCTAAAATTGTTCTTGCTGAATTGTGTATTTGTAAGTAATTGTGTTGTGCTGAGACATAAACACCCTCACCCTCATCATATTGAAAACATTTTTACTGCTGTTTACTTTGCAATAAAATTCAAATTACTTAGAAACTTTTTAATGCACAGCATCCACTGTCATGCCAACTAACTTTCTCTTTGTGAAATATGATTTATCTCTGCGGAGTTCTGAATGATTTATTGAAAAATTCTTATTTAGTTGAAATATATTTTGAAGTCATTTTGCAATTATTGTCGGATTAATTTGTCTGACCATCATTAAAAAAATGAACTTTGAAGTAATATACACTGAATACACTATGATACTGAATATGAATAAAGCAAAGTAGAAATTTTTTATTGATATATGCGATTACAAGGTGAGATGAAAAAACTGCAACCAACTTCAGACTGCTGTCATTTCTAAACCGCTCGTCCCACAGCTGTCAGATTTATTCTAGTGACAGCTCATTATATTGTTTACAAGCGCACAAAAGCATTTTGGTGGGAATTTTTCAAAAAAAAAGTTATTTGTGATGGAATTCAAGCGTGATAGTGTGATTGCTTTGCATTTGGCTGGAAAACCACAAGTGGCTATCGTTAGAGCCCTCCAGCATTTAGAAGTGAATAAATGTTTTGTGTCTCGTACCATCGCTCGTTACCATGATACTGGTAGCGTAGCCCGACGTCAAGGAAGTGGACGAAAAAAAACAGCAACATCGGCAGAAATGGTTCGAAAAGTGAAAAAGCGAATTGAACGAAATCCGCGTCGCAGTGGACGAAAAATGGCTCGTGAGCTGAACATATCGCAATATGCCATTCGGCAAATATTGAAAAATGAGCTTGGACTAAAGCCATTCAAGTTCCAAAAAGTGCAAGATCTTACTGATGCGCAAAAAAAAGTTAGACTCGAAAAAGCTAAAGAGTTGTTTCGCTTGGCCGAAAGTGGTGAACTGCCGAATTTGGTTTTCTCCGATGAGAAACCATTCGTTATCCAGCAGTTTGTAAACAAACAAAATGATCGTGTTTACTTGCCAGAGAGGTCAGCTGAAAATTTGCAACTTCGGTTGGCCATCACAACTCAAAAGCCGGCCATGGTGATGGTGTGGGCCGCCATAACAGCCGATGGTCGCTCGCCGCTCGTATTCATCGACCGTGGTGTCAAATTAAATGCGCAAATCTATCGCGAAAATATTTTGGAGGGAGTTCTGAAGCCCTGGGCACGCAAACATTTCGGCCGCAGACCTTGGACATTCCAACAGGACTCAGCACCATCGCACTCAGCACGCGCCATCCAAGAATGGTTAAGAAATGAGGTTCCTCGCTTCATTTCCACCGCACAATGGCCACCAAAATCTCCGGATGCCAATCCGTTGGACTATTGTGCCTGGGGTATTTTGGAAAGCAAGGTTGGAACTAAAAAATACCAAAGTGTCGATCATCTCAAGCAAGCGCTTCGCCGAGAATGGGACAAAATACCGCAGAGCCACTTTCGGGCCAAAGGTGGCCAATTCGAACAAATCTAAACCGATTCTCAAATTTGATGTTATTTCCGACATTTTTTGCTTTCATTCAATAAAATTTAAAAAAAATGAAAAAATATGGCGTTTTACTTTGTTGCAGTTTTTTCATCTCACCTTGTATATATGGGTATAAACAATCTTTCAATATTCAATATTGAATTCAATATTCAATATTGAACTAAATTGCTCCATAATTGGAGACCATTAGTTCAAAGCATATAGACTTGAACTATATGATTTATTGTAGACTATTAGTTTCTTATACCAAGACGTATAACATATAGGTATGTTACTGTACAATGATGTTTTTCATCAAGATGTCTATATTTCAGCTGGCCTTAAAATATTACAGATTCCTAGAAAATTGATTTCAATATTTATTAAGCTAATATGCAGATAATGTTTTATAAAATTATTACTTTACAAATATGTTTATTGTTGTATATAAAATGAAGTGAGTAGCTTTAAACAAAATAAGTTAACAAACGTATTTAAAATATTACAAAATATATAAAAAACAATATAATATAACAGATTAACTTGACAGAGGCATAAGGTAGTATAGTAATAAGTAATTTTATTGATATTGTATTGCGAAAAAATGAAAACCACATTAACCACATCAATTTTAAAAACGAAATATCCTCTAAACTCCACGCTTCAGGAGTTAGAGAGGGGGATAGCTAAAGACTAATAATATTCAGTGCGGGTAACAGCTCTAAGAGAATAATTTACCTATTATTTTCAGACCCTAGCAGAAAAAAAAACAATATGATTTCATCAGCACAAAAAGTAAAACATCTTACAATAGCAGAGTATGTTAAACCTCTAGGTGATAGAATTTCATTTTCTAAAAACCAAAACTACATAATCGAAAGAACTGACAGAATAAAGCGGTACATATAGTGAGTGCCTCAAAGAGGTTATATGCCATAATAAGAATCTAACGACAGACTTGTGCGCGACTATTGAACCTATGGGTGATAACAAAACTACCAAAATAAGGTTTGGTCCGAAATCAACCTTACCAAGGTTCGGCTCACAATTGATATGAGCGACTTACACACTATAGCAAAGTTTTGCAACAGGGATATGATAGTCAATCAAAAAATATGAGAAGAATGACATATTCGCATTAAAAAATTAAGAGAGATATAGCTTAACTTAAATTATATAAAATATTTA